AGGTTGGAGATATAGCCGGGGCCAGAGTTGTGGATGGCTTTGTACGTGGCCCATGGCAACCAATCAGCTAAGAGATAGATGCTGATTGACTTGACTATTGCAACTCCCTCCTCATTGGCCTACCCCCTTCAGTCTATCATGAATGCAGCTGCTAGACTCATTCACCTAACCAACCACTCAGGTCTGACACCCCTCTCTGCCAATCCCTGTACTGGCTTCCAATAGCCCAAAGGATAAAATTCAAAATATTAACAACCACTTACAAAGCCATCCACAACTCCGCCCTAGATTACATCTCCAACCTTCTCTCTCTAAATATTAAGCACAAATGGGTGTCAGGCAGACGTATAAACACGCTTGTGATGAGTAAGCTAAACAAGCCACTCCTTGTTAGTATAGTGGTAAGTATCCCCGCCTGTCACGCGGGAGACCGGGGTTCAATTCCCCGACAGGGAGGCCAATCATTTAACTTCCCCTGTTTTCAGAGTATGCTTTATGGCGTGCGTGCAGGTTTCAATGTTTGTGTATATGATCTGCAGATGAAACAATTTATGTACAAGCAATGCCTACTGTACTAGAAACACCAGACTGAACCCTTGTCGAGGAAGCAGGTACTTGTTTGTAATTTCTCAAAATTGAACTCTGGATTATAGTTACATATTTTATCTGCTCTCATATACTATAATCTGTCATGTTGCTATAGTACACATTAGAGAACTATGGGGTTAGTGTTTTTCCCCATAGTTCTCCTTAGGGTAACGGGAGGACACAAACTAGCATCCTCCCGTTACCCTAAGCTCAGTATACCGCGAGCTACAGCTCGCGGTATACTGAAACGCCGCAGCCGGAGCGGATCCCGACGTAGATGACGGGATCCGCCCAGCTGCGTGAGTGACAGCTGGCTCTGCCTATCTAGAGGCAGAGCCAGCTGTACCCGCCCCCTCCCCCGTCCGTTCCGCCAGTCAGCGCTGGCAGATCGTAGCGGGGAGAGGGGAATCCAGCCCCTCCCCCTGTCACGGCAGAGAGCCGTGACATGATCAAGAGGTGAGCGAACCCGGTATGTGTTCGCTCACCTCCCGATCTACTGAGCCGACCTGTGACAGTCACATTGTCACAGGTCGGCTAGAACTATGAGGTGAGTGGAAATCACTCATCTCATAGTTCTCCTTTAAGGGCATGTATAAAAGCATTTACAGCGCGCCTTGGACCCATGCAACTCCTCATTAGTATAGTGGTAAGTATCCCCGCCTGTCACGTGGGAGACTGGGGTTCAATTCCCTCTATATATTTATACTGTATAGGGGGCTATCTCCCCTTCAGTCTATCATGAATGCAGCTGCTAGACTCATTCACCTAACCAACAGTTTTCTGATTCAACAAAAATATAGTAGACGGTAACAATGGACAATAAGGGAAATTCTGTTTTGCAAGGTCTACTCCCAAATGCTTTGATTTTGTAATCCTACAATTTTTTCTGCCAGTATCTACAGGTCCTCATCCTTTCTCTTTCCCTGGGGGTGATAGTATATGGAATGGTGCTTGGCGTATTATCTCTATTACATGGACAGAAATATGGGGGATATGCAATATTGGAGAATAAAACAAAGTACCCTCATTAATCCTGAAATTAAAGTCTTCATAGAGGGATATGCATACACCAAGTTATAAATCGGGGAGGAGAAAGCACAGAGAGGGGAATGAACGCATAATGGGAATTTTTGGTAGGGTTAGCCCACATGTGCATATGCAACATCCCAGATCTGATGGAGAAACAATGGGGTACATTTACTGAGGCAATTGAATATCAAATAATGTGCATTTTGGGGTTAAAACCCCAGGCGTGCCGCAGTGCGATTCTTACCAGAGGGGAACATTCACATTACAGCTCTGCAGCCCTTGTGTGTTTCCAGCATTCACACCTGTTGCACTAGGCAAGCCATTTAAAATAAATGGGATGCATTGGTGTCAATAAGGAGGACAAAATGAAGGTGGCTTTGGTGTTTTTAAATAGCACAATTAGCTTTACATGACTCCTGAAAATATTAAAAGCTCCTTTCAACCCCTGGTGCCCAACCTGCACCCCTGGGGGGCCACATGTTGCACTTATTGTACGACCCTTTGGGTCCCTGCAGACGTTCCTCTGCGTTCTGGTGCTTACTCAAGCCAGTGCAAATATTCCCTCTGAAATTTATAATGGATCTTGCTAGGAGAAAATGTGGCCCAAGTCATTTTTAGGAGGGCCATAGGGAGCACAAATGCGGAAGCAATGATTGGAAATAACATTGTAAGAGCCGTGATCTCTAGCAGGGTGATGTAATGTGTCTCCAGTCTGTGACGTCTCCTGAAGCATGTACCCAATCTCAACCAACTCCTATAGCATGTCTGTAGTCTCTCACAGCTTTATGTTAAATATTATGTGTGGCCCTTTCTTGATGTCAGGGAACACACTGGCGCCACCTATTTTCACATAACCGGTTAGGCTCACAGACGGCATGGTTTCAGGAAGATGTGCTGCTGTAAACATGCCCCGCTTGCTGGAGACCTCAGCAGCCTTCCAGTGAACAGTGGCGCCTGTTTACAGCTCCGATATTAGCATTGAGTATCGAGGCATTTTCACAAGTACAAGTAAATTCTCAGTATCGATGAATCCGTATTTAAAAATTGTATTTTACTCCTGCAGCTTGTTTTTACTCTGGAAGCAATGAATGGGCAACCATCACTTCCTGTACGCTCTCCCCTGCCTCTGATGTAAGAGGAAGGGGAAAAGTTGGCCATGTAAACATTACCATGTGATCACTGTGATACCCAAATACAGGACAGAGAGCAGATTCAATCAGTTCTACATATAAAGCCAATGTTTTCTGCCGTCTACTGCCAGGATGAGAGAGAGCACGCACTAATTTGCAAGCAAATTTTCTTGTACATCCATTTAAAACAAAAAAATGCTCATGATGTCATTGGAGTGATAAAGTTTAGTAAATCAGGTACAATTTAGTTACTCTGGCTAATGGAGTTGGAGCTGAGTCTTGCTGTCTTATTTTTCTAGAATGAGATTTTCCTTCTATAGTTCCTTGCAGTCTCCCTCCTCTTGCCTTCTTTGCAACATAAAATGTTAAAAATCCAACAGCATTATTCAACACTCTTGAAATTGCTGGGGAAGAGGATGTGCAGATCTCAAGCACACAAAAAAAAAGTTTCACTGAAAAGGGAGGACCTGGGTTATTTAAACGTACTCTTCCCACCTCAACCGACATGCTTATTCAGATATTACCCTCCCATTTTCACTTTTACCATTCTGTTATGGTTGGTCCTCTTTAGTCAAGCCCTCAACAACGGGGCCAAGCATTCAGCATTGTCATATCAGATAATCAGAAAAGGTCAACATTATCATTCTCATTACACCAGGTGAGGGTACAGTGGCTGAGAGACTCTTGCAATGCCTCATGGGATTTGTAGTTCTACCACAGATGGAGGGCCAGGGTTTGGCTACCCCTGTGCTAGATTGTAAGCTCTCACGAGCAGGGTCCCCCTACCTCCTGTACTGAAATTGTATTGTTAAATCGTATAGTGTCCCTCAGTTTTATAAATTGCTGCGCAAACTGTTGGCGCTATATAAATCCTGTATAATAATAAAAAGACAGATGAGACTGTAGATAAGCAACATAAAACCATAATGTAAAAAGCAGCAAAACATTTTACAACATTCTCAAAGAAGGATCAACGGAAATTAAAAAAAGCTTGTAAAATCCTTCAGGTGATCTAGCACACATTGCACTTAGTCCTTTTCAGATCCATGCAGTGGTTTGCAAATTAAAAGGACATTTGTATGAGCTGGCTGTAGCTCCAACCCAGGCTGAAACCCAATTTCTGGGCATTGTTGTGGAGGGAACTACTAAACAGCACAGAAGCCACCTCCCACTATTCATTCTAACATTTGAAGTTTGATGGTGTAATCTGCCAGTCCTGTGCCTCTTTCTAAACCCAGATCCTCGACACTTATTTTGGGGGGTGAACTTGAGTACCAGCTGGCGTGCATTGTTGTAGACTTGTATTTTTGTGAATGATGGTGCTCACACCATCACAAGCAGCCAGCTAGTAATCTAGTCTCTTTGATAAAAGTAACTTTGTGTCCCTGCAGAATGATTGACCCTCGCTCACTGGGATCCCGTCACCACAGCCCCATCACTTCCCTCAACTTGCTCTACTCATGTACTCTATGCTCCATCTATGCCAGCTTTCAGAGGCAGTGGCAGGGCTTGTGCAGACGCTCCTCTGTGTGCTCTGTGTCATGTGCCCTCTCCTGTGTGGGGGTCATTTAGACCTCATGAGAGATTAATCTCCTTTTGAGTAGCGTGGTCAGAGAGCAGTACCTTAACTGACTAACTTGCTAACTTTTTATGAGGGGGTAAGCAGAGATATGGATGGAGGGAAGCCGGTAGATGTGGTTTACCTGGATTTCTCAAAGGCATTTGATACGGTACCACACAAGCGCTTACTTCACAAGCTGAGGGCTATGGGCATACATGAGGTGGTGTGTACGTGGATAGAGAACTGGCTGCGGGAACGTGTCCAGAGAGCATCCGTACATGGCCCCTTTTCGGACTAGGCTAGTGTAATGAGTGGTGTGTCTCAAGGATCTGTGCTGGGTACGATACTGTTCAACCTATTCATTAATGACATCGGGGAGGGAATAAATAGCCATGTTTCCGTGTTTGCAGACTATACAAAAATAGGGAGGGTACTAGAAACGGATCGTGACAATATAACATTGCAGGAGGACCTGGATAAAATAGGGAGTGGGCAATACTATGACAGATGAGGTTTAAACGTATGTCTTTATTCAACCCCAAATACTATGTAACTATGTAACAGACAATGGATCTGAATGAGACCTAATGCTATATGCATTTGGTTCCCTGTGGGATTCACAAGCATTTTCAATTTCTGATGACTCTTCTTTAAACAGTAAAAACAACACCAGAAACTGTTTAGATTTGACTACATAAAATTTATTGTTTTATAAAAACTTTGTAGAATGAGCTCCTATATTTAAATTCAGACACCCCAAGAAGCAATGTGTTTTCTCCTTGATCTGTCCATCTCGTGTGTCTGATGAATACTGCTTATCCCACAACGCGGGCTTTAGTTGATTCCAAGTCCAGTTTATGTAGCTATAAAAAGCGAGTTCTGAATTGTGCCCGCGCATACGCTGCCACTATAAAGAAAGGGACTTTGATACAGTTCTAACAAATTGTCACGACTATCTACAAAATTCACTGTATTCTTTTTTAATTATACCGCAATTGCATCAGGAGATCCAAAAACTTATAAGATTAACAGCTTCAATTCATTAAAATAAAAAATATATACAGTTTCCTGATTGCCAATTTATTTTTACAGTTCTGTTTTGCAATTCCAAAATAAAAATCCAATTGTATATATATTAATTGGTGCACTTAACACAGGACATATGCTTGTTACATGGAAGAAAATAAAGATGGATTTCAACGCCCTGTCACTGGAGACATTTTCCACCACGAGTAGCACGTAACAGGTAAGATGGGTCTCAAAATCATTACAAGACCATGATTTCTGTTTTGAATAATAAGTGGCATCCATATAGAACATCAGTTTAAAGGCATGTACAAAATTAGCAATCTACATAAATTAATAACTGGAGATCCTGAGTATCAGGTGCATGAAAATTCCAGTATATTCCTCAGGGCTTGGCCCTTTGAAAAAAGACCTGGAAAAATAGAAAAATAATGTTATGTTTGTTAAAAGGTACCAAACTGTCAAAAAATGTCAAACAAACCATTACATACCTTTAAGTAATTCTTAAACACTTTAGCATCTGGCTGCTGTAGAGCTTGACAAAACTCCTGTAAATCAGATCACAACATATAAATTTTTAAGGAAAAAAACCCCCAAACAACGGATCACCCTAAAATCTTTTTCTTAGAGTCCACTGAGGGATGCAAGAAGTCTAACCTCCTGGTATACAGCTGCCTACAAGAAAAACTACAGGCAGGGTACTGGGCTTCCCGGAGAAGGAGAGACAATGGGACAGCAGACGGGGATGCTCAGAAATTGTAGGTGGAGGGGAGGCCCCTGACATATTTTCCCCATACTGGGGCTTAATCAAAGGTCAGAGGAAGGATTTTTGGGTGGAGTGCCTGTGCTGAACAATAAAGTTGATTTTACCCTTTGAAAGTGTGGGGCTCCAGAACTGCTGAATGGTGTATGGGACAAATGGAACCCAGAGAAGTGAGCACCTGCACGCTGGAGCTGAGGATTGCAGAGGTCTTAAGTGCGGCTTCAACATTATTATAATTTTTTTTGTAGCTTAGCAGAATTGTGTTAGGACATATCAATGTTAGCAGCAAGGTTAACAGACTTGAGTACAGAACAACAATGCATGCCATAAAATAGCCTGTGTATTTGACCTATATGGTGCCCTTTATAGATTGTAAATGTCTCTTTTTTACCTGGATAATTTCTGGTGCCACCTGCAAAGATGGTAGATATTCTTGCTGTAAATACTGAATGCATTCCGGTCCCTAAAGAAAAATATTGAAAGCGATGTAAGTAAACATAGCATAGCTAGAAGTAACTCGACTTTCTGATGTGTATAGCACAATGGAGCCTTCTTAGAACAGAAGGTATTCACATGTCTCATTCCATCACATATCCAAAAATAAGAGGACAATTCATTTTAGAACAGTGAGCAAAGCCATGCAAATCATTCCTTTACACCCCAATGGTCAAATGCACATTCAGAACAGCTAGTAGGACTCAGAATATTAAAGCTAGTGGGTCAACCCAACAACCAGCCAGCTAGCATTTTCAGAAGGTCAACAGTGGAAACTAATTTTTCACCCATGACAGTTTTACTTTAAAATAAATTTATGGGAGCTGCCATTGCTTTCGATATCTGCCTGTTGTCATGCGGACACTTAGAATAGGCCCAGAACAAGTATAAAAAGGTCATGAAAGTCTCAAAAGAAAGAAAAAACAATCCATCCCTATATGCATACATGTTCCAGGCCGGTGACAAAGTATGATAATGTCAGGATGTAAATGTCAGCCTCCATGTTTTTCTCTGACTTCAACCCTTTTACTGCCACTGAATGAATTACTACACATCAGTAGCAACACGTAAACAAACTCACAGGCACAACATCAGCCATGAGTTTGTTTAATTTTTTTACAATCAGATTGCAGACTATATTGTAGAAGTGATCTGGCCAGCCACCCGATAGCTTTTATCCCCCCCCCCACTTCTCAGGAATCCCCTTCCTTGGTCCCATGGCTTGCTTGTTTCTCCATGAAGCCCAGGACCAAATAAAATCCAGATAGCTCTGCAGTGAAGCAGGAACCCAGAACTCAGCTCTAGTTAGTCCCTTTGTGCCAGTCTTTGAGGAGCATAAGGTTTTATATGACATCTTACCCTTTTTAAGTATATAGTTTTCATGGTCACTGCACACTCCGACAAAGCCTGCAGACAAAAGGTTGTTTTAAAGGAAATATAATTTTTAAATTATATACCAAATCTGTAATAGGTTTTAAATTATAAACATGAGTACATACATGAGTTAGCTACTAAACCACAGCATTTTTCTTGTACAAAGCAGCATGACTAGTGTCAAAACTCAAAACGTGTAGGCTTGTGAAACAAAAAGCTGAAGGGGAGGGGGGGATTAAAAAAAAAAAAAAAAAGGGACACCCCCCCCATGAAAAAAAATATATATATATTTACCGCTTTAACTATTCAGAAATAGGAGAAAATTACACCCAATAGCCGACTTTCTACTGCCCAGTAAGGAAACACTCACTAAACAGAGAGATGAGAGCTTGCAGAACATGGCCAGGAAGTCAGCAAGTCATGGTCAGCAGTATAAGCATAAGAGGTAATCAGCACTCCAAAGATGCAACATCCACGACTTGGTCACTACGGTCAAACTGCCAACATTTCAGGGCCTAGCAGGTTCCCCTTCACCAGGGAGACTGTCACCGACATCCCTTGTTACATCATCATGTATTTCACAAATTGTGGAAACCCATCTAGGGAGTGCTGGTGATTTCTAACTCTGACCCTGGTTAAACACAACATCAGCCACAGTCATTACCAGCACCTCCTGGTCTAAGCACTGTCAGGACTGTGCTGCTCTATATGGGTAGTAGTTTGCCTGTGGTTGGGTAAGCTCACTGGGAAACTAAAGTGGCTTAATAAGACCATAGTATGGTGGTAATTTTTCCCCCCCCATGTGTCCCATACAGCACAATGCGCATTACGAAAAGCGATAAGCTATAGGATTACAGTAGAGCACCAACTTACCAATATGGTTTGGGCGTCTGCAAGGTCAAAGGTTGGTTTTAGCGGAGCCAGAAAGCATGCAGGAAAAATATGTTTGTAGATAAAATCTGCAAAGCCAACCAATCCATCCTTGCCACCTGGAAAGATAAAATTTAATTGGCTTCTGAAAACAAAGCAATAAAGTCATAAGAAACTGTAACAGAAAGGAAAATGGCACGCACCCCACAGTTCTACTAATTTGGAGAGTATGATGAAGCAGGTTTTTTGAGCAATGGGATCTGGATATTCTACAACTCCTTGGATGACTGTGAATAATACACGCTCCACGTTCTGAGAATCTGAATAATAAACAGAGGAAGGTCATTCGATGTGTATTGAAGTATTTAACATACAATATGTTAAAGAATGCAGAGATCAAAAAACTTATTAAAATAATTCACAGACAGTCACATTTCAGGCTTAAACAAAAATAAATAAATATGTTGTAGCTCTATGGTCTTCATAAAAAAAACTGTTTAGGTTCTACATACTTCCAAAAATAATTTTAAGATCACACTTCACAAAAAGGTGAAAGCCATAATTATGTCCCTTTTGAAGGCAACTGGCTGCACAGAGCGTATTTGTGGCAACTTTGATGCACATTTGATTCATTGTCTAAATGTTGGGTTTCCCCCACAGGGGCAATGCACATTTTATGTAAGGGTTGCATGTAGATGGTTACAAGAGTTAGATCTTCACAGTGATTGTACTTTAAAACCTATATGCACGTGTATTTTTGAATATATGGTGGATACTTATAGAATCTACAATCACTGGCCACTTTATTAGGTACACCTGTTCAACTACTAGTTAACGCAAAAATCAAACAGCCAATCACATGGCTGCAATGCATTTTGCCAAGCGGACATGGGTAAGACAATCTGCTGAAGTTCAAACGGAGAAGAAATTCAGAGTTACTTACGGTAACTCTTTCCTATAGTCCTCCAGAACAGCTTGCGAGAGATAGGCTCCACCCCTTTTATTCGGAAACACGTCACCCTCCATTGTTTAAAAGGCCAGCCTCTCTCCTAGCGCCTCAGTTGTATCGAGAACCGTAGGAAGACTCTGTAAACACAGGAACCAAAACAACAGAATATCATATTGAAATCACATTTCACCACCACTCCTACATCAAGGGCGGGAATCCAGCTGTTCTGGAGGACTATAGGAAAGAGTTACCGGTAAGTCTAACTCTGAATTTCCCTTTCGTCCTCCATAACAGCTTGCGAGAGGATAAACAAGAACTTACCCACTTAGGGCGGGACTACTGGTTGGAGTACTTTTCTTCCAAACGTCTGCTCTGCTGCCGTATTCAAGTCCAGCCGGTAATGGCGGACAAACGTTGAAAAACTGGACCAGGTTGCGGCCCTACAGATCTGCTCCGGAGTGGCACCAGCCCTCTCTGCCCACGAGGTAGCTAACCCCCTGGTAGAGTGTGCATTCAAAAAAGGCGGAACACTAACCTGCTTAGCCCCATAAGCCTCCTGAATACATAGATTAACCCATCTAGCTATCGAAGCCATGGAGGCCTGTTTTCCTTTATCCTTTCCGGAAAAAAGAAAAAAAAATGGCATCCGATTTCCTGAATGTTCTAGTCACCCTAAGGCACTATCAGGCAGCGCCTAACATCCAGGTGGTGAAAACTCGCCTCTTTCTGATTAGCCGGACTATTGCAGAAAGAAGGTAACACGATCTCCTGAGATCTATGGAAGTCAGGAGACTTTTGGCAAAAATGCCGGCTCTGTCCTCAATACCACTCTGTCTTCAAAAACCCTTAAAATAAGGTCCCTTAAGGACAGAGCCTGCAATTCACTAACCCTTGTTGCTGCGGTTATGGCAACTAAGAATACAGTTTTCAACGTGAGCATCTTGATCTGAAGATCCGGTAGAGGCTCAAAAGGGGGAACCATCAGCCCCTGTAAGACCACCGAAAGATCCCATTTAGGCACGGCACAGCGAGTCACTGGCCTAATACGTTTAAGGGCTTTAAAGAACCTGCTCACTAGTTGATCATTAGTCTGGGAGCATTGCAAATACACACTCAAGGCTGAGACTTGTACCTTTAAAGTGCTGATGGCTAGGCCCCCGTCCGCCCCCTCCTGAAGGAAATTCAGAACCGACGGTATCGATGCATCCCTGTTATTTCCCCCTTTCCAGGAGCAGAACGTTTTCCACACTTTCCCATAAATCTTCCGTGTCACCAACTTACGGCCAGACAATAAGGTGCTGACCACTCGGGAAGACAGTCCCTTCATCCTTAAAATCTCCTCCTGAGATAGAATGCATGAAGAGACAGTTTGTCGACAGCCGGATGCATGACCGGTCCCTGTGATAACCCCTGGCTGATCGGGAGCGGCCAAGGCGGTCGGTCCGACAAGGACAGGACCGTCGTAAACCACGCCCTCCTGGGCCAAAAGGGCGCTGTCAAAATCAGGCTTGTTTCTTCCTGCAAGAACTTCTGCAGAACCCGTGGAATTAAATGAATGGGAGGAAATGCGTAACACAGGTGATACTCCCACGGGTGCGACAATGCATCCACCGCCACTGCGTTGTCCGCTGCATTCAGGGCAAAAAAAGCGTTCCAACTTTGCGTTGGACTGAGTGGCAAACCCCACTCCCGGGATAGGAGGTTGAAAACCTCCTGATCCAGGCTCCATTCGTCCTGGAAGACCTCGACCCGACTTAGATAATCCACCAGCATATTCTGTGTTCCCTTTAGGTGCACTGCCGAGAGAGAAAACAGATTCAACTCTGCCCAAACAAAAATCTCCTTTGCAATTGCCTGAAGGAAGGAACTCCTGGTGCCCCCGTTTGTTCAGGTAACACACCGTGGCTACGTTGTCTGATAGCACCATTAGATGCTGATGCCAGAGCTGATCCTGAAACGCCAAAAATCGCATTCAGAACCGCTCGCAGCTCCCTCCAGTTGGAGGACATCTGTGTCTCTCGATGACCACTGTCCCCAAGTCACCTGATTCTGCAGGTGTGCTCCCCATCCCCAGGCACTTGCGTCCGTAGTCAACCTTAAGGTAGCGTGAAAAGACCACTGAAGTCCTCCCGACAGGCGACCTTGATCCCTCCTCCACCATAAGCCCCTCCTCACTGAAGGGGGAAGCCTGACTGTGGCGTCCACGTTTTCCTGTGAATGGTCCAACACCCTCAACAGAAACCGTTGGAGACCCCTCTGGTGGAACCTTGCCCACTGGACAGCCGGTAGACATGAGGTCATAAGACCCAGCACCAACACGACTTCCCTTAGGGATGCGGGGCAATTCGTCTGCAAGCGACTCACTGCCTTTCCCACCTTCTGAATTTTCTCCGCTGGGAGAAAAGTCCTCTGCTCTACCGTATTCAGGATGTAACCTAATACAGCGATCTGGGAAGGAACCAGGTTTGACTTCTGAAAATGTAACACCCATCCCAGGTCCTGCAACCAACTCTGCGTCACCTTCAAGTTTTTTGTACAAAGATCGGCAGAGCTGGCGGACAGGAGGGATGTCGTCTAAATAAGGGATGATTCCAACATCCCGCACCCTTAAAGGAGCCAACGCCTCCCCCAATACTTTGGTAAAAATGCGAGGTGCCGAAGACAACCCGAACGGGAGGGCCCTGAACTGGTAATGCACCACCTCCTGACCTATCCTTACCGCTAAAACGCAAAAATACTTGGGACATCCTGTGAATGGGAATGTGGAGATAAGCATCTCTCAAATCCAGCGTTGCTAAAAAGGAATCTTTTTGTAACAGGTTTCGGACCGAAAAAATGGAGTCCATTCGAAAGCTCTCGTACCCAATTGCCAAGTTCAAGAGCTTGAGATTGAGAATCAGCCTGTACTTTCCTGACGGCTTCTGGACCACAAAAACATGAGAATACAGTCCCCGACCCTTCTCCTGATCGGGTACCTGAATGAGCACTTTCTAATCCACCAATTCTCCCAATAGAAGACAAAGAGCTTTGGCTATGTCCGCGTTCCTTGGGAGAGTCGTGATCAAGAAACGGTGGGGTGGAGTGTTGCAGAATTCTAACCTGTACCCCTCCTGGATGAGGTTGAGTATGTACTGACTGGAAGTAATGCTCCTCCAATGGGGGAGGAACTCAGTCAGCCTTCCCCCCACCCTCACGCCGTAGTGATTGCTGCTTTGGTGTCTGGGAGGGAGGGTTAGTAAAAATACTTCCCTTGACCTTCTGCCCCGTCCAGTGCTTTTTGGGTAGCTCCCCTTTCGCATTCTGCCCCTTGTTCCTTGGTCCTTTAAAAAAACCTACGAAAGGGCTTCTTTTTTTTCGGGAAATGATTTCTTTTTATCTGCCGTACGTTCCAATACGGCCTCTAGTTCCGGCCCAAAAAGAAGATCATCACTAAACGGAAGATTGCAAAGCCTCAACTTCGAAGCTGCATCCCCCTCCCAAGCCTTCAACCAAATCGCCCTGCGAGACGAGTTGATCAGGGCTCCTGACCTGGCCGCCATTTTGACAGAGTCAGCTGAAGCGTCTGCCATAAATGCTATTGCTTTAAACAGCATCGGTAGTGACTCTGCAGCTGGGTAAGCCAAAATGCCAGGTTCCTGGCAACGCATGTTGTTTCCAAGGCCGGCCTGAGACTGGTACTAGCAGAGTCCCATGCCCTTTTAAGCAACACCTCAGCCTTCCTATCCATGGGGTCTTTGAGCACCCCCATATGTTCAAATGCTAGATCCGATTTCCTAGAAATCTTCGACAACGATGCATCAATTTTAGGAACTTTGTTCCATGGCAGTGATGCATCCTCGTCGAAAGGAAAACGTCTTTTCAAATTGTTGGAAAAAAGAGGTTTCCTCTCTGGGTCCGACCATTCCTTAAAGATGGTGTCCGCGAGCACTTTGAGCACTGGAAAAACCCTGGCCTTTTGCTGCTGAAGTCCCTGGTACATTAGGTCGTGCCTGGATAGCAGCACCTTCTCCTCCTGAATATCCAGTGTATCATATACTGCACCTAACAATTCCTCCACCTCTTCCAGAGATAGTTTGTACCTAGAAACAAGGGGACCATCATTCCTGTCACTGTCCTCTTCAGCAGAAGATCCCTGCTGAGAGGAAGCAGCGACATCAACCTCCTCTGGCTGCCTTTGAGAGACCCCACCTGACCTGGACACCGGCTGGGGCTGCTGAGTAGGAGTCGGAGATTCTGGCACTAGAAACTGTGTTGCAGGCGGTCTCAATTCCGTTATCAGGGATGTAAAAGAAGAAAAGGTAGAGACCCTGCCGAGGTAGATTCTTCCCTGCATACCCCTTCGATGCATTTTTGACACAGAAGCTTTTTCCAATCTGACCCCAGCTTTATGGAGCAGACTGCACACTTCCTCTTAAGGACCTTGCCCTTAGCCACCTGGACCTGCAACACAGAAAAGGACAGAAATCACTCATCTAACCCCCCTAGTGCCCCCTCGCACCTTAAGCCCAACACCAAGGAGCCCCAGGTGGAGGAACAAACAAAATATGTAGTCAGCTACAGGGAGTGAGTGCATGGATGCAATCACTTACCTGAGCAGAGCTGGTGCCCGAAGGACCTGCATCCCCTTGAGCAGTTTGTAGAGGAGTAGCAGCGTCCATCCTGGAGAGAAATAGGATCTCCCTCCGGTGATGTTTCACAGTGAGGCCTGTAATCACACCTCATGCACAAGCCAGGCCCGCCCCCATCCTCTGCACCGAAAACGAGGCCTGGAACGCAAGGCCCGCGGCGCCCGGAAGTGCGTCACCCGCACCGGATGTGACCCAATCGGTCCTCCGATCCGGCCGTGGAGCAACTCCCGGAGCCCCCAGACCAGCAGCACCTGACTACTAGTCCTCCGGTCCGAGGGCTCAGCCAAGGGGGTAGGCGCAGCTCCGGTACTGGCCCTTCCCGGCACTGAAGATGGAGGACCTGGTGCGGGATCAACTTCAAGTGGAGAGCACCAGTGGCCCACATAAGGTAACCATGAAAAACCCGAGCGGCATCTCCCAAAAAAGAGGAAACACGAAAAAACTGTGGAGCTAGGAGAGAGGCGGGCCTTTTGAAACAACTGAGGGTGACGTGTTTCCTAATAAAAAGGGTGGAGCCTATCTCTCGCAAGCTGTTCTGGAGGACGAAAGGGAAAGGTGATTTAAGTGACTGAACGTATCATGGTTGTTGGTGGCAGACATGCTGGTCCGAGTAGGTTAGAAACTGCTGATCTACTGGGATTTTCACACACAACCATCTCTAGGGTTTACAGAGAATGGTCTGAAAATGAGAAAATATCCAGTGAGCAGCAGTTCTCTGGGCGAAAATGCATTGTTGATGCCAGAGGCAGATTCAGAGGTTCAAGCTGATATAAAAAGGTAACAGTAACTCAAATAACCAGTTGTTAAAACCAGAGGTATGCAGAAGAGCATCTCTGAACACACAACACATGGAACCTTGAAGCAGATGGGCTACAACAGCAGAAGACCACAATGGGTGCCACTCCCGTCAGCCTAGAACAGGAACCTGGGGCTACAATTTGCAAGGCCTCACCAAAATTGGACAACAGAAGATTGGAAAAACATTGCCTGGCCTGATGAGTCTTGATTTCTGCTGCAACATTCCGATGGTCAGGTCAGAATTTGGTGTAAACATGAAAGCATGGATTCCCATTGCCTTGTATCAACGGTTCAGGCTGGTGGTGGTGTAATGGCGTGGGGGATATTTTCTTGGCACACTGAGCCCCTTAGTAGTAACTAAGCATCGTTTAAATGCCACAGCCTACTTGAGTATTGTTGCTGACCCTGTCCATCCCTTTATGACCACAGTGTACCCATCTTTTGATAGCTATTTCCAGCAGGATAACACATGTTGCAAACCTAAAATAATCTCAAAACTGGTTTCTTAAAATATAACAAGTTTCCTGTATTCAAATGGTCTCCAGTCATCAGATCTAAATCCAACCGAGCACCTTTAGGATGTAATGGGAGATTTGCATCATGGATGTGCAGCCGGCAAATCTGAAGCAACTACATGATGCTATCATGTCAATATGGACCAAACTCTCTAAGGAATGTTTCCAGTCCCTTGTTGAATCTATGCCATAAAGAATTAAGGCAGTTCTGATGAAATGGCCAGTGAGTGTATATGTAGACAGAACTTGTATGCATTACTTGCAGCTGATTGTAATTTTTGGCATATATTTATACCAGAAATAAAAACCGGTTTAAACTGTGTATATGTTATTGAGCCCAGTACTGAAGAAGTGGAAAACCATGAACTACAGCGACTATGGGCAGCACTTTGATAACTTTTTTAGCAAAACTTTGTACTTCTATATTGTTTATACTGGAAATACCACATGAAATGTTATGTATTTAATGTAAATGTAACAAATTATTTGCAATGTTTGTGTGTGGAGCCAAAAATTATATTTTATTTCAAGATATCTACTAACCCTGATTGGCAATGACCTCATTCATCCCACTTCCAGTAACGGTTTGGAGAAAGGCGAAATAGCTTCGTCGTAACATTTGCTTATCTAGAGCAGCAGACTGGTCGTTTTCTTCTGAAGGGCGGGATAGCATCTCAAATATAGCATGAAGAAGTGGCATGAAGACTTGCTGTAGGAAAGGCGACACTTGGCCCTATAGAGAGAGGATAGGTAAAGCTAATCAGCACAACAGACTTTGCAAAAAATCTGGTTACCCTTTCCTTTGTTAAAGTTGTTGCTTTTTAAATTGAAATGCACCATATTGCTGATTTTATCATACAATTATTTTAATTCAAGTGCTAAAGATGGAAGACTAAGTGTCAATACTTTCCTATGACTGAACTTTTGGAATCTATTGATCATGTTCATATTCATATGAATACGTCAATACTGCAAATTAAAATCTTTGCTTCTGCTCTGCTGGAAAAGACAGAGGGGATGGAAAAGGGTGGTAAGTGGTAGGATCAAAGTGTCTGTGTGTTATAGTATCTATCATCCAACCATATTGGAGCCTGAGAGAGTTCCATGTAAGACAGACAACTTCTAATAGAATACCTTGAATTTGGCAGTAATTTGGTTAATAAGAGGAATGAATTCTTGCAAGTCCTTTGCTTCACAGTCTTTCAACATGTGCTCTGAAGCAGTAGGGATGAAAGGAAGCACTTCCTCTTCCAAACAGATGATCATACGATGAAGGAAAGTGCGGACACCACCTCTGAGAGTTTCCTTTTGAACAGGACAACTTAGAGCAGGAAGAAAACTTTGTAAACAGTTCAAATAGACTCCAGAACAGCCACACTGCTTCACTGTTTGCTTATTACTAAAAGCTTTACTTGTGCGACTGCAGAGGAGAAAAAAAAAAACAAAAAAAAACAGGAATCTATCTGATGCTCTTTCCTACCACATGTATTAGAATTGTGAAAATAATTACCAATCAGTAAAGTTTCCTATATACAGAAACAAATTGAAACATAGGCTCAAGAGAACAAATGAGATTAGATTTTCTAGGACTTCATACCAAACTTGATATCTGTAGGCTGTACACAGGGTCACCGCTAAGTATCTGCAAATACCTATTGCACTTTATAATGTTACATCATATAAGAGGCAGCCTATTTTAATAAGAAATTTACAAACTATGCAGGTATGCAGGAATGAGTTTAACTGCTGAGCTGGTCTTAACAGAAACTACATGAATCAACTGGTTGAGATTACTGCAAGAAGTTTACAAAATATAAAGGGGTCATACACTTAGGCCTCATTCACACAAGAAACTGCCGACACATACAGCTCCGTGCACGACAGTATCAGGCAGCTCCCGGGAAGGACAGGTTCTGCCTGTGATTAGTACGGAGCCACTGTCCTCTACGGGCCTTAAGCATCAAATGTTAGGTGTTTTGACGCTGCAGTTCATAATTAGCCCACACCAACTTATCCATAAGTTCTAACACATCTAAAAGCAGTGGTTCTCAACATATGTAACCTCAGGACCCACATTTGTCCTCAGTCATTAAGTTGCAACCCAAGCCTCACTGCAATGGAAAGCACAACATTGCAGTACCGCGCATTCCAGTGCAGGCGATTGGACTGCGAGTGGGAGGTGCGTTTGGGGTGCCATTAACATGAATGGCAATGCAATGCACCACCCACACCAGAACGCGCTGTAAGTGCGATTGCATGGTACAGTGCAATAAATCACATGGCACTGCACGGTTAACACACTGTACTAGTGTGAACAGGCCCTCAAAAACACCGATGACACACACAAATACTGACACAATCTCACACACACACTCCATAAAAAATACATTTTTTTTCCTTTTAAGATCCACCCAGTCTCCCTACCTTACGAGAACTGGAGTCCTGGAGATCCTTAACGTGGGGTCCAGTGTGGGCTGCTGTGCTATGATGGCGCTCCATCCACATGTGCATTGCTTGCACAGCTCCCACGTGCGCCTATAGGAGCTGCTTGCAGCCAGAATATGATATCACTCCGGTCCAGGCATTCTAAAGGACACGTGAGGGAGCTGTAAGCAAGGCACATATGGATGGAGCTCCCTTGCGGCCATACCCCCAGCCAACCTCACCTCAAGTTGACACCTGGCACTGGGCAGCATATTTTGAATGGCTGCTCGGTGTGGGAACTGACAGTGCTGCGCTAGGGGGAGGCGGAGGAGCCTCTCACCTAGAAAAGTGGAAGGCATGCAGCGCTCCACTGAACACGGGGCCGCAACCCACTTTTGGGTCACGACACCAGTTGAGAACCAAGGATCTAAAGTATCTTTAGATCAGGGGTCGCAACAGCTACAGCCCACAGCTTTAATTTTTTATCAACAAGCAAAACTGTCAATAATTTTTCCGATATCGAAATAGCAGTTTACACCTTAACAAAACAGACTCCACCCTTCGCTGGGCAAAAATATTTTATAGGCAAAAACCTCCTCAGTACATTTAACTACAAGTATCATTTGTACAATATATATCCAGGTTTGAAGCAATTTTAATCTACCTGGCAAACCCGACAGCATGATTAAGGCAATCTGCTAAAACAGTCTGTCGCTCTTCATCTTGCTCCAACATTAATTTTCCTAGTAAAATCTTGAACTTTTCCATTAACGGATTCAATAGATTCCTCATCAGAATACTTTTCCTGTCGGCCGGATAGTCACTGTTTACTATGAGAATGCCAGCAGTCTCGTATATAAAGAGCTGATCATCGCTGCTCAGCAAAGTCTGAAAACCGTTTTCCTGAATAAAAGGAAGAGTTATTTTGCATAACACAAAGACAAAGTGTCAGTCTCTGAACACAGAAAGAGGACATTACATAGTTCTGAGAACATGCCTATAGTGACTGGGGTTCAGACAAAGTCTACAATATTTCCTTCTTAAAACAGTAGGGGGGGGGGGGGGGGGATTTATGAAAACTGGAGCAGTTGCCCAAGGCAACCAATCAGCATCTCTTCAGTGTGCTCAGGTAAGATTTGAAAATGAGACAGAGAAGCTGATTGGTTGCAGTGCAAATATGCTCCAGTTTTGATAAATCCCCCCCTAGGTATTTAACTATATCCAAACAAACCCTGAAAACAGGGTTTAACCCCTTCGCATGTAAACAAGCCCTACTATCCACTTTTGACCTCAGTTGACCACACCATTTTTTAGAGTTTGTAAAAGACCCCCCAAAACCATACATATCCTGAAAGCAGAGGACTGGTACAGTAAAAAGGTGGTGCTACTAATTTTATAGGTCCTGCGATAATTGCACAAAATGTTTATCAAATCAATATTAAAAACTGATAAAAATACACAATTAAAATCCGTAAAGCGCTTTTACGACTAAATCTAAAAAGATAAAACTGTAATTAATTAATATAGGACCAAATTTTAAATTGCGACTGTTTGCAAAACTAAATATGAGGGAATAGAAAACTGTAAATAAGCAACTTACGTTAAAAATCTATGTTGTGGTAACGACTGATCTGCAGTGCCGTTTGTGCCCTGTGTTGGTGATAAAATGACGCAGGCACACATTTAATCGTAACACAGCGTATCACAACGCACAGAAATGCATCACAATGCTTTGCCATGCGCTGCCACACAGTTGAGTTAATGTTATTTTGAAAAAAAATATTGTGGTGCACATGTGTGGTGTGTATGGTGTGTGTTTTATTTCTTTTTTTTCCATTTCAGTTTTTTTTTTTTTTTTTTACTGTTTGGGGAGGGGGTTAGGAAAATATCAGGGGTCTAAACAGACGCAACATTTTTTTTTAAAGAAATGGAGGATACAGAATCCTTAATCTTTTCCTGCAGCCCCAGCTCTGAATGTACAGGGGCTTCCTGTTCTTTCCTAAATCTGAGGCATAGTACTCTCCCCAGTTATGAATGGATAGAAGCCTCTGTAGCAAGTGCTCCTCTCCATTCAAAAACTCATGAAATGTATAGCACTTCCTGTTCATTCATAACTGGGGACACATATGTCCTCATTTACAAACACTGGAGTGATAAGCGATCACTCCAGTGTTTGTTCTGCACAGGGAAGGATCGGTAAATATTACACACTTACCGATCCTCCGCTCTCCATCCTGTGTTTTGACGCAGCTCTCCTCTCTCCTCCCCCATCCTGAATTTGACATCTTTCTCTCCCCCATTCCTCCACTGGCTGCAGCGGTATGTTTCTCCACTGCCTCTGCCCATACTGGAGGGGGAGAGCGCAGGAGAGGCTGTCAAATTGCAGCAGGCGGTGGCATTTCAATTACCAGCTGTCATCAGCAGCTTGTCAGCTGCTAATGACAGCTATGTACAGGGGACTGTTAGGGGCACCCTTCTGTTATAAGTTCATGGTTGCTAAAGCGACCATAAGTTTATAGCAGAAGGGTGAAATCCACTGACTTAAGACATACTGATGTGGCCAACTAGAAACCGTTGTGTACCACCGTATTACGAAACCGATTTTGTGCAGTTCCCACTGGTTCCTATGTAGCCACCCTTGTGTGTGCTAGTAAGACACAGTAAGTGAAGCCACTCCCTCCTCCCCACTTCTCCAAGCTAGTAGATGGACAGCTGCTGAAGACTGCTCTGACCCTTGCTATAGTGTACTCAACAGGAAGGTCAGGGAAGCAGAGCCAAGAGGGTTAGAGTCAGCGATTTGGAAACATGATGACTAAGTGCTAGGGCAAAAATTTAAAGAAATACTTTGCTGGGCAATATATATTTGATTTGAAATTAATTAAAAGTTTTAGAGTGTAATACTACTTTAAAGGAGAACTATGGGGTTAAGGCTTTTCCTCAGTTCTCCTTAGGGTAACGGGAGGACACAAACTAGCGTCCTCCCGTCACCCTAGGCTCAGTATACCGTGAGCTGTAGTGAAAAGCACTCACCTCATAATTCTCCTTTAAGGGTACCGCTCCTAGCATTGAAAATTCACCCCAAGCCAGACTCGGGATTACCGCCAGGGAGGTTAATATTACTTTTGTTTTAAAAGGAGAACTATGGGGTTAAGGCTTTTCCCCATAGTTCTCCTTAGGGTAACTGGAGGACACAAACTAGCGTCCTCCCGTCACCCTAGGCTCAGTAATCCGCGAGCTGCAGCTCGCGGTATACTGAGACGCCGCAACGGATCCCGACAATTGTGCCGGGATCCGCCCAGCTGCGTGACTGACAGCTGGCTCTGCCTATCTAGGAGGAAGAGCCAGCTGTACCCGCCCACTCCCCGTTACGCGTGTCAGCGCTGGCGGATCGAAGCGGGGAATCCAGCCCCTCCCCTTTCACGGCAGAGAGCCGTCACAGGATCGAGAGGTGAGCAAACACCGGTATGTGTTCGCTCACCTCCCGATCTACTGAGCCGACCCGTGACAGTCATTGTCACAGGTCGGCTAGAACTATGAGGTGAGTGCTTTTCACTTACCTCATAGTTCTCCTTTAAGAAGGTAATTTGTCTAAAAGACTTTGCTCTTCAGTGTTTCTCAGGTTATATTTGACGTAGGTCAGAATAACCGTAATGTAAACCTCTGCTCAGTGATACATAGGATGCCTTTGCTGACCCTTAACTGAAAATGGTAAGTTTTCTGCTTGACTTGGCTTGAATGTTTATCGGTGACATGATACAAACAGACTGATCAAGAGTTTTTACTTTAATGGCTGCATGCTTCTTACAGGTTAACACTTCCAGCATTACCAATGGCAGCTTCCTAGTGATTTACATACAGCAAGATTGTACCGAAATAGAAACTCTTGGCAAGGAAAGCCATAAATACACAAACACATTTATATTATAAATAGTGCATTCGGCCTTCATTTGGAGTTTCGCTTTAATCATTTTAATGGTTTTAATTATTCATTTGTTTAGTTTATCTTCTCTAAAAAAGCAAAACGGTGACTTACAGGTGGAGAAAGTTCTAGAAGATCTTGAATCCTACTGAGAATGTCTTCTACAAATGTATTCATGTGCTTACTAAGAAAATAAACACGTGGACACAATTAGAATATTTATACCACTCCATTATACAAAAATAGGACACAACATTGTATGCGTTACTTTAAAGATGCACATCAATATCCATTACAACTTTGTTCCCCAGTAAATAGTGGGACTAGCCTTGAATTATGATGAATGAATCCAGATTAAATCTCCACTAATACATTTAATCAGATCTAGTAACCGGTTAGTAAGGTTTTGGTGTTTGAATGGAGGGGGTGGAATAAAACAAAAATACAACATTTAAAGACCACACAAGTTTGGTCAGCTGCTGTATTTTTAAGAAACACATACATAGTTTTAAGGCATACCATTTATTTGATATGGGCTTTCTATAATGCACAGTAGACCAAAAATTGCTCCAGCAGCATTTTTGCCAGCACAGCATATTGCATGGTAGTGCTACCATGTGCAGCGGTTTGCTGCTGCAGATGCGATAAAGAGCCATTCCGGAAGAATGACACTACAATGCATGAAGACATGTAATGCGAGTGCAATATTTTGAATGGCCCTTACTTACTGAATAGCCGCACTTACTGAAGTGATTTCACAAATCGCGAAAAAAGGTAAGATGTTCTACTGCGAACTTTGGGACTAGAATTACGTAAGCCTCTATGATCCAGAAATGCCATCTGAAATTAGAGGGAACAACATCCTGTGTCACTTAATGAGAGAGAACAGTGTCAGTACAATAATGGGGTTAGTGATCTATATTGAATAAACCATTACAGTAGCGGGTTCCTAATTCTTTGCTTAAAGTGCACTAATCTACACATATTTATCAAACTAAAGCTCCCCTACTACTTTGATTACAAATGTTGACAACATCTCAAAAACAACAATATGCACAGTGTGGCTGATGTCAAACTAAAGCCTGCATGGTATTTTAACAAAGTGATATTAAAGTGCAAAGGGTTTTAAGCCATTTCAAATGCTGATGAAATCACTTACAATGGATGCTGCTTTTGATGTTTAAAAGTTTCCGGCAGAATCAGCAGATCCCCCTGAGCACTGGTCCTGACTCAAGCAGAGTGCTACGCAGTCACCCTTGTGTGTGCGCTAGTAAGCCGTTTGTGTCTCCACAAACACAGCAAATCAAGCTACTCCCCTCTCTTCTACTCCAAGCTAGTAGATGAACAGTTGCTGGAGTCTGCACTGTCCTTTGTGATATTGTACTGGGCAGGAAGTTCAGGGAAGCCGAGAGACTTGGAAACAGCTGTTCAGAAACATGACTGAGCATTTGGGGAAAAAAGTAAAATGGATGCTTTGCTGGGCAATGTATATTTGTTTTACCTAGATTCATTATTGAAAAAAAGGGAAGCTATAAAAACACTAAGGCCTGGTTCACATCTGCGCGCTCAAAGAACCACGTGGTAAAAGCGCTTGCGGTGCCATTAATTTCTACTTTCGAGCGGTTTTGTGCCGCGTTTCAGCGTACAAACGCGGCAGCAAAGAAAAAACCACCTTGAATAAAATAGTGCAGGAGCCTTTTTGCATCGTGTATATGACCCCACTGAGATCAATGGGGCTGTGCGTCAAACATGCATCCCGGGGACATGTCTGCGTGAACCAGGCCTAAAATGTATATTTGATGTCAGAGTCTCATAAGGGAGATTTCCTTCACCTCCTATCTCGTTAATAAAACAAGAAAAAAAAAAAACACCCCCCGCAATTTTAAAAAGTAAGTGCCTAGCTCAAATTTTTAATTTTCCCTCACTTTCCATCTCGGTAACAAGTTACCAGGACAAAATAGGAGGGTAAATCTACCAAGCTGGACACGGACAGCAGAAAAAAAACAGAACAAACCTGATGCGGTTCTAATCCTTCTACACCATTTTAAAAACACCACCGTTACTATCCTCATAACAATGCAAAAAAAGAATATACAAATGTAAGTCCAATAAAACAAAACCAGGTTTTGCTGCAATAAAATCAGATTTTCCCCACAGTACTTTTATTTCTGCAGCTAGACGTCAGCCGTATGATAGCCAGTATCAGTCAACCCACTTACACCAAGTCCAGGTTGCCCAGGACCTGCAATTGACTGACTTAACAGTGAAAGCAGAAGCAGCAGTGATGAGCTCATAAACGGCAATCTGCTTTGTTTTTAGCAAGCTCCCTATCAGCACATAAATCAATCAAATTAGCTGCTTGTGCTGCTGCTTCCTCTAAACACTTCTGTGCTGCTGTACAGAGACTGCAAGAGGCCAGTCCCCAGGTCTAATTCAGGTGCTTAATTTTAAAAATACATTTAAGTATTAAATGATTACAAAGATGCATTAACTGTGTATTTTATATATGCCTGAAGTTCAGCTTTAACCACTTCCCAGCCGGCCGTTGTAAAAAAACATCTGCCGGGAACTTCCTGGATCTGAGCGAGCGTCTTCAGACGTCCTGCCCCGCCCCCCGATCAGGCGCGCTCCCAGCCCGGCAACTGTGCCCGCACGGTCCATTGGACAGTGCCGTTTCTATAACAAGGTATAGAGCCAGTAAAATCGGCTCTATACCTTGCGATCTAGCTGTGACAAATCACAGCTATCACAAATGTAAACAGAGGCTGCAGTTTGCAGCCTTGTCTCTATCTCCTCTCTCACACACCGTTGGGTTGTGAGAGAGAGGAGAGAGAGAACTTCAAAGATCAGCCAAAGTAAGAATTTAAAGTGATACACATTGATACACACTGATACACACTGATACACAGTCTTATCAGTGTGATTCATAAGTCAGTCGGTGTCATCAGCACAATTCACAGTGTCAGTGCGTTTCAGTGTCGGCCGTGCCAGTCGCAGTGTCATCAGCACTTTTCACAGCGTCAGTGTGTTTCAGCGTCATCAGTGCATTTCAGTGCCACATTTGCAGCACATATCATCAGCACTCAGTGCCAACAGAAAACGCCAGTATCTAGCATCATGCTACCCTACTAGCACCAATTAGCTTGTGACCACTGAACTGACCTTGGCCTGCATACTGACCACGTCTCTGCCTGCCACCTGTATTGATCCTTTGCCTAAATACTCACAACACCTCTGCCTGCCGACTGAACTGACCATGTCTCTGCCTGCCGCCTGGACAGACCCTTTGTCCACATACTGACCATGTCTTTGCCTGCCGCCTGAATTGACCTTGGCCAGCATACTGACTATGTCTCTGCCTGCCACCTGGATTGGATTGATCCTTTGCCTAAATACTCACAACAACTCTGCCGCCTGAACTGACCTCAGCCTGCTTACTGACCATGTCTCTGCCTGCCACCTGAACTGAGCTCAGCCTGCTTACTGACTACGTCTCTCCATGAACTGACTTTGGCCTGCATAGTGACCACATGTTTGCCTTCCACCTGAACTGACCTTGGCCTGCAAACTGACCACTTCTCTGCCTGCCACCTGAACTGACCTAGTTGACCACATTTCTTCCTGCTGCCTGTAGTGACCCATCTGCATGTCCAACTGACAATGGTCCATCCAAAACACCAGTCCCAGTCATCCTCTGAAAAAATGTGTGGTATCCCCATACTCGGAAGGAGTAGCAGAATGTGTTTTGGGGTGTAATTCTGAGTATACCTATACTGTGTATAAGAAATATCTTATTAACTGACAACTTTGTGTGCAAAAAATAAATTTCCATTTTCTTTCTTCATTTTTCAAAAACTTGAGGGAAAAAAATGAAAATCTTCAAAACACTCACAATGCCACTTAGTCAGGGCACCAGAGTTGATACATTTCCAATTATACGGTATGTATACCATTGTTCTGTAGACTGTATAACTGTAAGACATTCGAATTTACACTTATTTGGATTTTTTTTACCAAAGAAATGTAGCAGAACACATTTTGGCCTAAATGTATGAAAGATTATTTATTTGCAATGTTTCATTAACATAATATAAGGAAAACTTTTTTTTTTTTAACAAAAAAACTAAGGGTATTTTTTTCTTTATATAGTAAAAAATAAAAACCTCAGTGGTGATTAAATACCACCAAAAGAAAGCTCTATGTGTCCCCAGAAAATGGTAAAAAATTCATTTCAGTACAGCGTTGCATGACAGAATAAATGTCAGTCAAAGTACCGCAGCGCTGAATACTGAAAAATGGCCTGGCCAGGAGGGGGGTGTAAACACCTGGTCTTGAAGTGGTTAATCTAACCTAGATCTCCTATCTGTGCGCTTACTTGCCCCTCTGTGTGTTAACTTGATGTTTACAACCTCAGTGCTGTACCTACACAGTAACTCACCTTAGACTTGAATAGGGCCATACCCCAATTGTCTCAGATTTATATATGGCCCTATATATGGCATTCCAAACCATGCAGAGTTACTAAACAGATTGTGCTGGTAAATGATTTCGAGCAGAAGGCTGTTAACATCTGAAAACCACCACTATCTGGGTAGGGGTGTTATCTTGAATTTAGTGAAGGTGCAAGGGAGGGTGGGCTGTTTTTTTTGTAGTTGTCCAAGTACACATTTTTGCAACAAAACAAAAAAGCTTACCAAAACATTAGGAATGTGTATGGGTTCAACTGTGAAGAACTTTTCATATCTAACCACAGTTTCAAAAAATTCTAATGTAACAGACGTGTGATGGTAGGCACTCACACCAGAGGTCACAAGCTAGAGAGAGGGGGGAAAAAAAAAAAAAGAAGTATAATTAGAAACAGCATTTTATATCCATAGAAAAATTTTAATTAGCACCTCTTGCAGAAAAGCCTAATAAAACCCAATTTCTCTATGACATACACACTGCAATCAATTCGGATGGAGGCCAGTTAAGCTGGGCAAAAAAACAAAAAAAGGAAGAACACCGAACATCCACATAAGGGAAAAAAAATTACACATAGATGGGGAATGTGTTGCACTTGAACCCAGGACTTCTGTGCGCAGCACAGAGGCTAAATTGCCAACCACAGGGCCATGATACTGCAGATAAACCTTACATTTAAAATTAAGCTCCAAGAATTGGTCTCTCTAACAAATGGCATCTGAATGGAAACCAATTACTGTCAACGGTGTTTCAATTTACATTTTCATAAAAAAATAAAAAGCCTACTTACTGTTCTCATCATGTCCTGCAAAGCACTTGCTTTAGCAGCATCACCACAGAAATGAGCTCCATGGGATGAGGGGATAGCTTCTCCTAGCATGTACAATAACCGGATAGCAACTTCTACATCCATAAAGAGGGAAGACTGCCAGTTTCTTCAAAGGAAAATAAAACAAATTAGGACAAAGATTACTGTGTGGAACACTATTATATTGGATTCAAAATTGACCCAATATTGCACTCTTGGCATTTTTATAGATTTGATAAAATTTACACAGTTTAAATAAATAAAAGTTAAGGTAACAGCAATGCTTTACAGTCTCTTTCTGTGAACACATTCCTCTCACTGGTTGGCAACAGGCGATTGGTGACTAGAGCCTCTTCAAAAATCCAGTCAGGACATCATTGGAATTTTTTTTAAATTTGCTCACACAATGCTCAAAACCTTTTATGGATACGCTACAACTATAGGCAATGAGTGAACTGCAAAAGTCACTTACTGTAGCGTACTATTAAAAACTCTACGGACCGAGGCCAACAGTAGTTCTGGTGACACTTGTGCAAGACGGTCCAACAACAGTTTCAGCTGCTTTCTGTATTCAACAAACATAGCTTCATCTTCACCCTGTTTTTGAGAACAGTGATTTTATTACAAGCAAACTGAGACAACATAAAATATTGCTTCCAACCAAGTCGTATTGCAAGCACTGAATATTGCTTCTCATTTCTGTTTTTTTTCCTGGGCTAACGTAATAAAATTAAATTCATGAAAAAAAAAAAAATCCTGTTTAAAATGAGCTTTTCATTGTCCCAGGCTAGGGATAAGATGTTAGGATTACCACTTTCCATTACTGCAGCTCTGCATATCAGCTTCCTTCCTATATCCTGCTGACTGGTATATGAATAAGCATCACCACAATGGTAAAGTCCTCCCCTCCTGTAAAGTGCCTAAACAATTCCCATGTAAGCCTTTGGCATGGTCCATAGGGACAGTCCCCAAATCAAACTTTTGGCCAGGGATGCCTTTAATTGCCCTCCATTACCTAATGCCCTCCCTTACTGCACCCAATAGGATTATCCTTAGCAAATCTTACTGCCTAGAGTCATACAGTTAGATGACCCTGCAGAGCTGCATAGGGAAGCTAAAAAGCTAGGCAGCAGTGCACAGGGATGCTATATGATAATATGGATCTGCAACCAGCAGCTTTTCTGCGGAGTTCTGTGGATATGATCAGCTCCTGTACACATGGTGGAATTTACTAAAGTCCAAATGCAAAGCAGTAAAATGGAAGTGTGTGGGGCACCGAATCTGACCAGCCTGAAGTAGGAACCCATTATTGCCAAGAAAGCCGTAGGTGGACTAAAAGTATTTTTCTTCTGCCACATAAAACAAACTGTAGTTTTTTTTAAATTGTATGCAATAAATTATGTACCATTAAACTATGTAAATTTATGAGCTCACTGCTCTTTAGAGAAGATCCAAACATATACCAATGTAATTGTAAAACAGGGTTACAAAGTTTCTGTTATATAATGAGAAAGCTTCATTTCCCACAATGTCAAACTTGCCTCATTATCAAAGTTATATTCTTCATCATAAGTTAATTTCTTCATTACTGCCAACATTACAGCCTACAAGAGAGAAGACAGAAGATGATTAGGCAAGATTAAAAAGAAAACAAATAACAACCGGGCGCCTTTCCTGGTGCAGCTAAAAATATTTTTATTCAATAAAATAGTTAACAAGGG